CCCCCCCCGAACAAGAATATATATAAAATATAAGGCCATACAGGGGTTGAAACTTTGGGTCAGAAGGGGTACACTTATTAAAAAAAGTTGAAAGCCCCTGGTTTATGGTGAACAGTTTCTGGGTAATGACAGATAGGCATATCAGACAATGGGATTATGGCCATTGACTCAGTGCAGGTGTAGGAGGAAATGAAGAAGAATGCAATTCTACCATACCTGGATAAACAATAGAAAAAGGAACACCAAGGGCTTGTACCCTGACAAGGCTTTGTTCAGTGCTGTGCCAGCCACCAAAGGACAAGGCTGCTGTTCTTCATGCCAAACTGTCTCTCTCTCTCTGTGATCTCCATCGCTTACACAGAGCAGCCACACAGCAAAGCAGTGCACTAGGTAGGTGGTGGTCACTCTCAGTGCACAAACCTTGGTTGCCTGGGGCATGTGGATGAGGGGTGGAGAGGCCTGGAGCAGCAGAGCTCCAAGAACACAGGCCTCCTTGGCCCTTGCTAGGCATTCTAGTAGTAGGTTTCTTATTTTCCCGTGAACTGTGCACTACTGGGAAGTATAGTTGCAGGTGTAAGATACACTTTTGTTCCAGAGTACTCTCAGGTTACAATGGAAGAGAAGGGGTGAGAATACAGTATTTACACTGGAGGGAGTGGTGTTCTCATGCCTCAAGTTGCTCCTGAGAAAGTCAGAAGTAAGTCTCCACTGGAGAACATTACCCTGGTGTTCTTGTCATGAAGTTTAGGTTACTTCAAGCCCTGAGTTTGGGAGAACGGGTTGTGCGCCAGCTCTTTGCTACAGAATAAAATCTGGGGTAAATTATTCCAAAGCAAATGTGCTACGTGCCCACACCCATCTGGTGATCATGTGAATACCTACTTTGGGCAGGAGTTAACCAGAGGTGTTTTTTTTCCTGTGTGGCCCAGGTCCCACCTCCTGAAGGGGGCATGAAGGAAGTTGTCCACATCCAGATGTTTGTGGATGAGAATAAGATACATGAGAAACAAGTCCTGATCCAGAGCATCAACAGTGGTACTTTTGTGCAGACAGACAAGCCCATTTATACTCCAGGCCAGCTGGGTAAGGAGCCAGGTGCTGTAGAGACCTGCTTGCTTGGTATCTGGGTGTGTGTCCGGGCCTTCATCTCAAAACCACATGGAACAAATGCAGTGAAATGACAGATACTACCTCTCTCCCGCACCCCCCACCTCCTGAGCTCATATACTCCTTTTCTTCTCTTTCTACTCCCCTCCTCACTCCCACCTGTCTAAGGCCTGTTATGTTCCCAGCTATTTTATGAGGAAGAAATGATGATGATTCAGGTTACAGCCTGATAGGGGGCCTCAAACCTGTGTGCAGCCAAGGCCAGTGGGGAGGGACTGATAGCTGTGCATGGAGATCAAGCAGAGAGCTGCTAACGTGCTTTGTCCCATTGCAGTGAGGTTCCGCATCGTCACTCTGAACAGCAGTTTCATCCCGTTGAATGATGTGGTGAGTAAAGCTGCAGGGAGGGAGAGATGGAAGAAGAGAGGGAGTACGGAGAAGGATGGGAGTCATAAGGAGTAGGCAGAAGGGGACCTTGCTTTGCTGTTCCCCTGCCATCCACCCTTGTCTTTGGGGCAGGCGGCTTGACTCTGGAAGCACTGCCAGCCTGGCACCTTGCAGCAGCTGCAGGAATTTGGGTTTCAGAGAAGGGGAAAACCTCAGCTCTCTTCTGTAAACTTCCATCTTGTTATAACCCAGCCTGGACTCAGTTTCAAACCAGGATTAGGCAGTTCCCAGGAGCTACCAGTGCACCCTGCTCTTTAAGCATTGTGGCCAGCTGTTCCCAGAAACCAAAGCACCTGAAGCTCCCCAGGAGACTGGCAGAACGATTAGCAGGCTGCAAGCCCTTGGGAAACTTGTACGGGAGACAGAGAAAGGCAGATGAGCCTCAGATACTTTCTAATGCTTCTATAGTCAGCTTCCTCTGGAGGCTGTGGAGAGATGTGGGGATGGCATCAGGAGATCTGACAAAAGGCTTGGATCAGTAGCTGGGTGCTCCCAGGCCTCAAGAGGAATGGGAGGGGCCAGTGTGGGTCAGTGCTGTGGGACAGTCAGGCTCCTACTGTGGCCTCTACTGAGATGGTGCAGGGGGTGCTGCTGCATCCCCCTCTGGCTCTCTGAGCCCACCAGCTTGTCACTGCAGCTGCTAGCAGAGCCCAGGGGGTGAATGCTTCACACTCTCCCTTTCCCCTGCCACTGTGGGAAGTGAGTGGTGCCCATGTTCACCCCCTGGGTTTTGCTGGAAGCTCTGCTGACAAGCCACGGAGTGCAGCCAGCTTACTGCACGCAGCCAGAGGGGGTGTGACTGCACACACAGGTGCACCTCCCCCTGTCCCCTGCCAGACACTGTCATGACCATGTTGCTCAGAACTCAGTGGGGGCAGCGGGGACAGGATGTGGCAGCTACATGCCTTAACTGCAGTCCGGCACCCATGGAGTGAACTGTGAAGCTGGAAGTGGCAGTGGGGAGAAGGATTCCTGTTCCTGCCAACAGCATAGAGGTGACTCATGGAGATTCCCTCTGGTTCTCTCTTTCAGTACCCGCTGGTGGAGCTGAAGGTGAGTGTCTCCTGGTACACCCCAAGATGCCTTCATTGTCTCTGGTCCTTCGCATACAAGCAGCAGAGCAAGATTAGGATGCGGCTTCAGAGATGCTGAGCACCCATTGTCTCATGGCACCTGGTTCTTTAGCACTCCCAGTTCCCCTTCACCCCAGGCAATGAAAAGCAAGACCTGGGATGATGTGTCCTGCAATTCCAAGTCTGGGTGGCAGGTTGGGCCCTGCAGTGTTCCTGTCTTCCCAGCAGCCCAGAGGAGGATGAATGTGGGGTAGAGACTGGGTGTCTCACAGCATGGCACAGGTGGGTTCAGCCTCATGGGGTATGTGCCCTGGCTTCTTCAGTGGTCCAGGAACAGTACCACACCAGCCTGACTCCTGCTTAGTGTTCAGAGTATTCTCAGTCTCCACCAGCTCTGGGAGAGCCAGAGGCCAGGGCTGGGAAGCAAACCCACAAGAAATGACGGAGCCAGCCCATGTGGCAGTCAGGCAGGCAGTTCCAGTGCCCACTCCTTTCCCAGCTCCAGGAATGGTATGGCCTGTAAGGCAGCTCTGCTCACCTGGTGCTAGCCTTGCAGATGTGGACCTTGGTCTCTGCTGCACTCACCCCTGCAGCAGCCCCTGAAGAGCAAGAGACAGGATCAGACAGGGCCCTCTCTGAGCCCATCTCTCAGTCTGCAGCAGCAGGGTGGGTGCATGGGGAGTGAGGGCAAGGAGGGACTTTGATCTGGTTTCTTTTGATGGAGGCAGGATCCCAACCATAATCGAATTGGCCAGTGGCTTGATGTGAGACCGGATAGAGGCATCACACAACTGTCCTTCCAGCTGGCTGCTGAGCTGCCCCTGGGGCGCTATACCATCAGTGTGCCCAGCAGGGGGACTTCCAGCACCTTCATTGTGGAGGAGTATGGTATGGTGGGGGTGGGGATGAGGGGGCATGAGGAGCCTCTGGCAGTAGCCCCTGGGGAGCCCCATTGTGAGGAAAGCCTGTATCCCACTGGGTTATGTTTAAGGGGCAAATGGGGCATGCCATTGCTGAGGCTGCCCAAGCTCAGGGCTGGTCTGCCAGCCTGCTTCCTTTCTGAACCCTCCCTCTCCTATCTCCTCTCTCCCAGTGCTACCCAAGTTTGAAGTGATGGTGACAGAGCCTGCCCAGGTCTTCACGTATGACACAGCTTTTCCACTGAAGGTCTGTGGCAGGTAAGATTGGAGGGTCCCTGGTCAAGACTGAAGGGAGAAGTGCACCAGCAAGTGTGTGAGGTCCTGTCACACAGTGGGCGGGAAGGTTTAGCTCTAGCTCTGGGCGCTCTGAGTTTGAACAAAGATTTTTCACAAACTGATCCAAGCATTTTGGTGGCTCCCAACACAGCTCCCAGTGGTCGGCTATGTTCAGCAGTGTCCCAGTTGGGAGGTAGGTCCTCCACATTTAGACTCCAGGGGCAGAGCAGAAAGGCACTGTAAGCTGAAATGGGTTGTAACTACAGAGCTGTGTGGGGAGCCCAGGGCTGGAATAGCAGGGGGGCTGCAGGGCATCAGAGAAGGGCACTGGCGGAGCTGTGAAAGTGACATAGAAAGCAGTGCTGCAGGGCATATTAATATATACATGCCCATTCATGTAAGGGAAAAAGAGGGCTGTGGAGTAAGGGCAGAAATTGGAATACATCTAATCTCTGGTTTTCCTTCCTGGGCAGGTACACATATGGGAAGCCTGTCCAGGGCACAATCCGGGCCTCTGCATGTCAGAAAACCAGCATTTGGTACACTGACCACATGTCATCAACTCTCACAGACCTCTGCTGGAAGTACACAGCCCAGGTGAGGAGGTAGCAGGAAGGCTGTCTAAGAGAGTGGTGAGAGCAGGTGGGGAGAGGGAACAAGCAGGACAGGGCAGATGAATGTGACAGAGAGGATAATGCCAACTTGGCACAGTGGGCACTTCCCAAAGGGCCTGGCACCAGGCTGCTGCATGGGGGTTTTTGTTGAGTCAGAGAGAACAGTGCCTTCTCTACAGTCCCACCTCCACATCCAGTAATACTGCTTACCACACCCTGAGCAAGCCTAGCATGCCTGAGCCTTTGCCACCCAGCAGGCTGGTAGTCTGCCTGTGGCTTTCCTCTGGGTTACCAGGTACGAGGCTGCCTGTCAGCAATTGTCATTAGTGCTCCTTGCCCATTTTCCAGACCGATCAAACTGGTTGCATCTCAGCCTCCGTGAACATGTCCTTCTTCAACCTGGTCAACTACAGGTTTCGCCACAGCATAGAGGTGAAAGCCACACTGGTGGAAGCTGGAACAGGTAAAACATGAGGCTTGCTAGCTGAGCAGTGTGCTTGCACGTGTGCATGCAAGGGTGTTTCCTGCTTCTCCTTTCCTTAAAACTGAAGCTCTCAGGGGGTGGTGGAAGATGGAAACAATTCTGCTGGAACCGTCTCTGAGATGGACAGGGCAGCCTCTTACATTTGGAGATTCACGGTGGGGCCTGCCCTACTACCTCGTCTTTGCTGAGTTTCTTGTTGACTCTGAGCCCTGCTGGGACTGTGGACTGTTCCACTGGCCATGGATGGACAATACCCTCTGCACCATGCTGCTGAATTACATGCTCTCTCCCCTGCAGCACTCTGAGCCTCTGTGCCTCTGGAGTCCTTGCAGGCATGGGACTCTTCCATTAGCCAAAGAGGGGTTTTTAGCTCTTGTGCTCCTGCCCAGGTTCTCACACAAGGATTGCAGACAGGCTTCAGCTGCATTGTGGCCACCTTCCCTTTTATAATGATATGACTGGAGGTGGGGTATTTTGCCACTTGTTTCCTGTGATGCTCTGGGGTCAGGTCATGGCTGATGGGCAGGTCTGTTCACTGGCTCACTGCACATCTTGTCTGTCTCCCAAAGGGCTGGAAGCAAACACCATTCGTGTTGCACCTATGTCTGAGCAAGCTGGTTCACTGAGTTTTGAGGATTTAGACAGATATTATCATCCAGGACACCCCTACAGTGGGAAGGTGAGTGGGTATTAGAGGGAACCCAATGTATGGTACATGGTGTTAGTGCCAAGGACAGAGGAAGGCTGTGGCAGCCCCTCAGCATCATCTTTTCTATCATACCCAGAGATTGTCTTTGTTTCTCACCCTGTCCTCCTCTCTGGAAGGATGGGAATGGCAGTTACCTTATCCTGAGCCACCCCAATCTCACTGGCCCTATAGCACAGACACCCCTTTCCCTGATCTCCTCAGGAGGAGGTCTGGCTGGTCAAAAGTTTACATGACACTGCTATTCTCTCCCTGCTTCTCATTGCAGATTAAAGCGCTGGGCCGAGATGGCTCCATACTGAAGAACCAGGAGCTTATCTTGGTTTCTGAGGCAGAGAACAAGCAGTCCAACCAAAACCTCATTACTGATAGCACTGGGGTGGCCACTTTCACTTTGGACACAGCTGTGTGGAATGGAAGTGATGTGTCTCTGGAGGTGAGTGGCCTGAAGTGCAGTGCGGTGAAGTACCTCACCCAGGAGGCTGCAGAGATATGGAGGATGGCATGCAAAGTGCCACTTGGGCAGGCTGTAGGATTCCCTTTGCTGTGTTTCTTAGGCCCTGTCACTTGTCTAGGAGGGTGTTAAACAGTCACCTTTCTTTGAAAGTCTCTGCTCCCCCTTGAGTTTCCCCTTTCTGGGTACCTAGAATACCTGGGAGACTCAAGCACTGAGTTGTCCCCACTGGCACCATGACTTACAACAAGGCATTGACCATTTCAAGCTAACTTGCTTCACTACAGAGGTGAGTAGGCAAGAGAAACAAAGGGAAACAGCTGTGATTTGACATCACCAGGATTGACTCCTTTCCCCTGGAACTATATGCCATGTCTGCAGCTGAACACGTAGATCTCAGATTGGCTTCTTCAGTCACCCTCGGACTCAGTGATAACTTCCCCATTTACTGGAAGGCTGTTATCTCCATATTGAGGGACTGCCAACAATGACAGTCCTGGGGTGGGAAGGGATTTGCTTTGGGTTCTTGTCCCTGGGGTGTGGTTATGTGATAGCATTTCACTAGGGTAGCTGAACTGAATTACCCAAGCTGGACCCAGGGTCAGCAGTCACTCAATATGAGGCTAACAGTCTTCCAGTAGATGATAGGGAAGTCAGTTCAGTCATTACTGAACTGTTATAGAAGACAAGCCACCATCTTGTGTGGACAAGCAGCCTTGTTGGATCTCCAACCACACTTTCAGATAGACATGGCTGGGGCCTTTCACTCCCTGGTTGTCTACAGTTGTAGACAAGTGGCCTTGTCTGTGGCTGATGTTCAGGTTTTAGCCATCCTGCAACCAGGCTGCTCCCTGTCAGGTTTGCTTAATGACATACTAGAATAGCCTGTTAGGTGCCCGAGTGGGTAAATGTATAACATGGGACTTCCCATATACCTCAAATCTTGCCTCTGTCAATGGCTGTTGCAGAATGTGTGACAGGAAGTTGCAAAAAGCCCAGTAATGGACAATGACAGTTGAACATCCAAAAGGAAAATTTCTTCCTAATATCAAGTATTTACTAACTGGCTTCAGGGTATAACCCAGCATGTATCTCTGTTCTACATAAATTTGCTCTGTGTCAGGGGTGTCAAACTCATGTGGCCTCAGGCTGAATCCAGACCCATTTCCAGTAGAAGGGCAAGTGGCAGTGGCGTTAACCTCCACATCTGTTTGTGCCACTATGTTGGCTCAGGCAGTCCCAGTGGTTAACACTGCTGCTGAAACAAGTCCACTGTAGGGCTCTGTACCTGAGATTTTGGTGTCAGGGTGCGTGACCACAGCGTTAACCCATGCCCATGGCTTCTTGACTTGGATCCAGCCCGTAGGCCCTATGTTTGATACTCCTGGTCTATGACTACTATAGGGCCATTTCTATGTATTTACCACCTGTTTTCACAAATCTCACATTATCATAAGTCTTTGGCAATACAGCTCTTCTGCTGTAAAGTACCTGAGGACAGAACATGGGCCCTCCTGCCCTACAGCACAAGCTGCCAGGGCTTGACTTAAAGGAGGAGATGTGTTAGTCATAGCAGCATTAGATCTTCTGAACTGAACATGCTGTTACCAGACTTAATATTAGACTTCAGGTAGTAGCACTGAAGATATAAATGCTTGAACATGAATAATATGTTTTCTGAAGAGAGCATTTATTGATCACAGCAGTATGTAATTTCAAACATAAGACAAAAAAACACAGCAGAAAAACTTTGCCTAAGGTAAGAGACAGCCACTGGGTATGTCTACATGTACATTTTAAAGCAAATTAGACTATTTTAATGTGCATTAAAGCATCACAAAAAAATGTGGGCATTAAAATAGGGTAGTGTGCATTTTTCTCACAGTGGAGGTACTAGATTAAATGCACATTACCTAAAATGCATTACTGAATGTGTAGATGGGCCCACTGACAACACACAACTTAGCTTAACTTTAAATGCAGCATAATAAACCAAAAAGACAACAGAAAGCCTTTCATAGATCTTACAGCCAGGGTGTCCAGACTGGAATAAGCTTCCTCCAGAGGTAGTGCAATCACCTACCCTGGAAATCTTCAAGAGGAGACTGGAGGGTCACCTTGCTGGGGTCACCTGACCCCAGTTGTCTTTTCTGCCTGATGCCGGGTGCTGGACCTGATGATCTTCTAAGATCCCTTCCAGCCTTACAATCTATAAATCTACGTAATCCTGAGGGCCGAGTGTTTCCTTGCAGCCAGGTATTCAGAAGGTCTTTCTGGGGGATTTGCAGGTCATCTTAGGGGTGAAAGTGGTCTCACAGGCCTCCTCTTTGCCTGGGTTTTTCTAAGGATCTTTATCCCCCTTTCTCACTTGGGTCCCTCACTTATCCCATGTCTCTCAACTCTCATGACTGTCGTGTGTTCAACATCTCTGTCTCTTGCCTCTTCTTAGGCATTCTAGTCTCTCACCCCTTACAGGTTTCACTTTGAAATGCAAATGTAGCCCCTGCCTTCTTCCCCTCCCCTGCTACCTCAGATCATGCACTTAACATCTGTTACATAGCTTCAGAATCAGTTAAAGGGCCCACACTTGTTATGACTGTGCCAGGTCTTTGCCAACACATGCATGCGTGTACACACACATTCAAGCATGCACAGACTGGCCAAGACAACTACAGTTCTCTCAGGAGCTGCAGTGTCACAGCAAGTGCATAACTGCCTTTGTTTTTTTTCCAGGGAAGGTTCAAGTTCCAGGATCCAGGGTCCAAGTCCAGAAGCACCATCCCAGACTACCAGAATGCTTACTTCCGCCTGCAGCCTTATTATACCACCACCAAGAGCTATCTGAAAATCCAGCGTCAGTGGGAAGAGCTGCCCTGTGACCAGCCACAGGAGGTCCAGGTGGAATACAATGTGGACCCAACAGACCTGGGAGAAGATGGCGATGAAGCCACAGAAATCCTCTTCTCTTTCTATGTGAGCACCTGGACCAAAGGGTAGACAAGGGTTAAGATAGCATGTGCATGCGAGCCTGCATGTTGGGGAGTGGGGAGCAGCAGAAGAGGTGCTGGCAGGGTGGTGAGGTAAGAACTGAAGCTGAAAGTCCCCTGGTTGGAGCTCTTATCCCATCTGATTTAATCCTTAAGGCTCTGAGGAGAGTGCATTTCTGTCAGCTCTTCCTCCCCTGTCCTTCCTGACCCTCTCGTTGCACCCCGAAGCAGAGTGCTCATCCCCTTTCTCTCCCATGGTGCCTCCTGCTCCCCCAGGACTGGACAGCCAACTTCTTTTGAAATTCCCCAGGGAGGTCCCCAAGCAAACTTCTCCCTGCTGGTTCACTCCCCATCAGAGAGCAATGTGGGGAGGTGGGGTTGGGAGGCAAGTTCATCAGATGTCTGCTTCTGGTAGACCTGCTGCAGCACTCTCCCCTTAGTTGTTGATGCTACCCAATATATCTCCTGCAGGACTGGAATCTTTTCTCCTCTCTCTCCATCCCAAGGCATGCACTTCCGTATGAACCCTCTTGCACAATCCCCTGTGGGCACATTGCCCTCCAAATGCAACCCACCATCTCCTAGCTAGCTACCATCCATTGCTCTCTATTCCTCTCTGATTTCTGCCTTCATGAGCCCTTAAATGAAGGCAGAGACCTTGTTTTTCCTCCATACCATCTGTTTCCCTGCCTGAACCTGTCCCCCCTTTGAATTCACTTTTCCCACTGCTTGAAAACCTGGAGATGCATCATTTGAGACTCAGAGGGTAGATATGAGGGAGGAGGAAGCATCAATTTTCTCAGGTGGACTTATTTGGGATGCTTGACTTCCTTTCCTAGGTGGTGGGGAATGGGCGACTCATAATGGATGGTCAGAAACACATTAACATCATGAAAGATACCGGTAAGTCCCACAGGTACCTTTCCTGAATTGAAGAGCAAAAATCCTTCCAGTGCTGCACTGCAGTGATCATTTAAAATCACAAAGAAGTGGCTGAGGGGAGGCAGCATGAAATGGGCCCAAGGGCTAGAGATGGGCTGAGGTGGGCAGGTGGAGCAGGTATCAGACCTGATGGATGGGTTCTCATCTTCCTCTGTCCCCTCAGCTTGGAAGGGCTTGTTTGCCATCCCTCTCACCTTCACCTCCCAGTTGGCTCCCAACCCCTTCTTGGTGGTTTACATCATGTTCCCTAATGGAGGCATTGTTGCTGACAAATTCCAGTTCAAGGTCGCCACATGCTTCAAGAACCGGGTAAGGCTTATGGCTGGGATGGCTGGGCCTGGGATGGGTTCAGGAAGGGAAAACAGGAAGGAGAAAGAGCTGGCTATTTCAGCTCAGGGCAAGTACATACACAGAACCTCAGCATAAGCATCGTGGGAACCACAACCACCGCATGGAGAACTCTTCCTTCTCCAGTTCAGCCATTTCCTTTCCCTTTATCGCTTTTCTGGTCCTGTTTCCGACTCTGTCCTTCTCACAATCCATGGTTCTAGGTCACCCTGGAATTCTCCCAGAAGCAGGACTTGCCAGGGGCAATTGTGACTCTTCAGCTGGGGGCAGCGCCTAACTCACTGTGTGCTGTCCGTGCTGTGGACAAGAGCGTCTTGCTCCGTACTCCTGAGACTGAGCTGTCCAGCAGCAGTGTGAGTGATTCACTGCAAATGGTAGAGAGAGTGATAGGGCAGGAAGAAAGGTGTAGGCATTTCTGTAGCAGGAACTGAAGTAATAGATGTCCACGATGGGGAGAGAGTTGGGCTTGAAGCTAAATTTAAAGTGATTTAAATCACACTTTTTACTCATGATTTAAGTCAGCAAACAGGAAACTTTGATTTCAATAATTGGTTTTAATTTTTCATTTGTTCTCACTTATTTTCTTAAAGGTAGTTTGGTACCCATTTAAATGTATTGATAGAGACTTTATATTAAATTTGGCATTTCTTTTTTGCTAACCAGAAAGATGCAGCTCATCCTTGCAGATTTATTTAAGCAGTTATTTAGCATAACACATCTATTCAGATTTTTTCTTTTTCTATTTTAATTGTGCAAGAAATGAGGAATAAGACTTTGTTTTGTTTTGTTTTTTACTAGATGGCTAATATTATTTTACTCCTAATTTGTGTCCAAGTTCTGCTTGGAAACTGGGATTCATTAATAATGCATAAAACCAGCATTTAGATCTATTTGTATCCATCTTGGTCTCAGCAGTGATGGGAGAACGCTGGGTATCTGGGATTAAAATCTGGAGTGAAGGGTGAGGAGCAAGTGTTTTGTCCTTGGTATCAGTGCTTTGGTTTCCTAGGTCTATTTGTGATTCTTCAGGTGTATGGCATGTTCTCGTTCCCAAATGGAGGTTACCCCTATGAAGTTGATGAGGATATTGACTGCTATATACCAGGAGTGAGGCCATTTCCTATACCTGACCTAGAACCTGTGCCCCTGGACCGTCAAAGACATTCCATCTTACGGTTTGACCAGGGGGCTGACTTCTTCAGCTTTCTCAAGGTAACTTTCCATATACCTTACAGCAGTTTTTCTTAGTTTGGAAAGAAGACATGTAACCCCTCCATTGTGAGACAGGCCTTAGTGAGGTTATACCATTACCAGAACCATGCTATTGCGTCAGTAATATGACCTGAAGTGCCGTGCTCCTGTGAATAGGGTCCCTTTTAAAATTTCCCCCGCCCTTCCATCCATCTCTCAATTACTTTACAACAATTTTACTATGTTTACAAATCAGAAGAGAGTGAAGTTAGTTCTTTCATTGCTAGCAAACTAGACTCTGTTGGTCTGAGGTGCCTGCATCACATTAATCCCTGGAGTTCAACTCTGTTGAACTTAATGGATTGACTCTAAAGGTTGCACTTGAACCCAGAAGTCACTTGGCAGAAGCAGATGGAATCAATGTATGGTGAGCTGTTAGTTGTCCAGTGGTGAAAAAAAGATGAGATTTTTGTCATCAGAAGGAACACTGTTGATGACTGAAAAGAAAAAACAGACTCTCTGAACACAGAGCTAGATTTTCAAGTATTCAGCTTCAGCTGCTCCTAGTTAGGCATCAGATTTACAGCTAGACCCTTGGGGATAAGTGCCTTATGACCTCTGCAATGTGACCTCAGCCCTGCTAGCACCAGGCACTGCTGCATGTCTTGACTGATCCCACTGTCCACTAGAGACTCTGCTGCAGCACGGGATGCACTGTCCCATGCAAGGGCAAACAGTATGATCAGATAGATCATGGATCATGCAGTAAATGTCCTTGTTGTGGATTCCTAGGCAGGGGAGAAGGCAGAGAAGGGGAGATGGGAACCCAAGATAAGCAGAAATGCAAAGACAAGACAAGGCAATGGAACAAATGGTACATGTTAACATATTTAAAGCCCTTCCTTACCAGTGTCTCATTTCCATCCATTCTCTAATTTAATGCAGGACACAGGTTTGAAAATTCTGTCCAATGGCAAAATAAAGAAACCTCTGGATTGTTCAGTTAATGGTAAGGGGTTCCCAGTCTCTCTGATTTTTTTGCTCCCTTAATCTACTTAATGGTCATGTCTGTGGGGATCATCTGCTTTGTCCCTCTTCCCTCCTTGCCTTGTGTCTGTTGTCCCGTACATCTCAGAGACTGTCTGTAAGAAAGCAGCCAATTGACTGGTCTTATCTGTTTTCCAGGAATACCCCAGGCTTTTCCTCTTCTGGGAGGAGAGGAATTGGGATCCAGTGACTCCCAAGTCCGGCAGTATTTCCCTGAGACCTGGATCTGGGACCTCTATTTCATCAAGTAATTTTGGATCAGATCCCAGGAAGAGCAGGGGAATTGGGAGATGATGGAGGGCTTGATCTGAAGGCAGTGCTTGGAAATGCTGCTTTGAATCAAACCGCCCAGGCTTCGGGGTCTGGAGTGTTAATGTTCTAGAGCACAGGTTGGCAGGGTTGGAGGAAGGGCAACAGGATCTTGGGCGTGGGGGAAGGCACCTGTGTTGATTTTGTGAATGACACCGAGTTACTATATGAACTTGTGCAATTACTCTCCCTAACCTGTCTGTCTGTCTGCAAGGTAGAGACCATGATGTTACTCTGCCTCCTGAGAGGTTAGTCCTAATGCCTTTGAGATCGGTGGCCGTAAGGTGCTAGAGATAACCCAAGTGTTAGCATTTATCATCAGTGGATTATTTTTCCCTCCTTGAGAACCTCTTCTTCCTGCCAAACATGGGGATCTGATTTCTCTGCAGCGAGGCAGAGGAGGCTCTGGTCCTGTTCAACATCCCTGACACCATCACAGAGTGGAAGGCCAGCATGTTCTGCGTGTCAGAGAGCAGTGGCTTTGGGATGTCACCTACAGTGGGGCTGGTTGCCTTCAAGCCAATCTTCGTGGATCTGGCCCTGCCTTACTCTGTGATCCGTGGGGAGTCATTTATGCTGACAGCCACTGTCTTCAACTACCTGAAACACTGCATGAGGGTGAGGCATGTTCCAACTCTGGTCAGCCAAGTCCAGTGGGGTTGTGCCTGGCTCCCCACCCACATGCACTGAATCAGGAGTCTGTCTTGAGGAATCTTGTCCTCATACTTCCTTCAGGCAACAGGAGCTAAACCTAGGGCAGTCAGAGCAAGCCTTTTCTGCCTCAGAAATCTGTAGAGTCACTGTGTGCAAGTGTGTACATACAAGTCTGTGGGCTGGTGCATGCATGAGCATATCTGGGCCCCTGGGAATCTTTGGCTGCAGATCCAAAAGATTATTTCTGCTGCTGAACTTCCCCATCAGAGAAGCCAAATGGGTAACCCTTTGCCCTTTTCTCCATGTCCTACCCTAGTTGTGTTTCACAGTTTCACAGTGTCTGCTTACCCCCTCCCTTGCTCTTTTGCACAGATTCAGGTGATCCTGGACGAGACTGAGGAATACGAGGTGGAGCCATGCAAAGGCTGCAAATACACTAGGTGCCTATGCATGGATGAAGCAAAAACCTACTCTTGGAATGTGATAGCTACCAAACTGGGTAAGAGGACTCAAGGAAATAAGGGGAGAACAAGGGAGCAAATGTGTTGGTGGGCCAGCTCAAACAATTGCTCCAGCCAATCCAGTATCCTATATGGCTACTTCAGTTAGGTCAAGTGTCTGGTTTATTCCACTCACTCAATCAGATCAGTAGTCCACTTGTCCTGCCTCCCACTCTTTACTCCATTGCCATACCTTGTACATCAGTCTGTTGTGAACCCTTGCGCTCATTCCCATGGTGTGCCTGGCTCCTTGGGCAAAACTACACATGAAATACAGAGGTGCAGATTGCTTTGAGCCTTGTGACATGAGAAGACATTTCCCTTATTGCATCACAGCAGGAAGCTGGGAAGGATTGCATTGCTGCACATTGACATTAGTGTCAACAGAGACATGTCAGTATTGGGGGTAGGAGCAGCAACATTTGTCAGGTAAAGGGGCACACAGCCAAAACAAAGTTTGAAAATCACTGGTATAGATAGTAACAGCATAAAAATCTTATCTGAAAGGAAAAATGCTATAGCAACTCTGTGACTAGAAATTCCATGCTTGAATAAAAGGAACAGGATACTAGGATTATACTACCGACCACCTGATCATGAGGGTGCAGTTGATTATACAAGCTAAGAGAAATTAGAGGAATCCTAAAACCAGGACAGGCAACAATAATGGGAGACTTCGGCTAGCCTCACACAGACTTGGTAAATACCTCATTAGGGCAAGATGCAGAAATAATATGTCTACTTTTTAGAACAGGGGTGTCCAACCTTTTTGAATGTGGAGCCAGGTCGGGCTGGGGGAGGGACAAGGGGTGGGAATGAAAGTAAACAGTGTTTATTTTCGTTTTCCGTTGCAGCACCTCAGGCCTCAGAAAACAACTTAGTGGGCCGCATGGCGGCCCGCAGGCCGTATGTTGGACAAGCCTGTTTTAGAACAACTTGTTTTGGAACCCACAAGAGGAAAAAACAATTTTAGCTCTAATCCTGATTCTCACACAGGACCTAGTTTAAGAGGCTTCTGCAGGGGCAGATTCAGAAGGGTGAAGTGGTGAGGTTGTACCCCTTTTTGGCTATGCCATGCGTGAGCTCTTGGTGTTGAGTCTAGCTTTCACATGGCTCAGGAGCCCAGGGGGTGAGCACTGCTACCCCTCCTTTCCTTTTCCGCTGAGCTCAGCAGGA